GCCTCTTTCCATCACCCCGCCCCATTCTCCCTCCTTCCATCACCCCGCCCCATTCTCCCGTTTTCCATCACCCCGCCCCATTCTCCCGCTTTCCATCACCCCGGCCCATTCTCCCTCTTTCCATCACCCCGCCCCATTCTCCCTCCTTCCATCACCCCGCCCCATTCTCCCGTTTTCCATCACCCCGCCCCATTCTCCCGCTTTCCATCACCCCGCCCCATTCTCCCTCTTTCCATCACCCCGCCCCATTCTCCCGCTTTCCATCACCCCGCCCCATTCTCCCTCTTTCCATCACCCCGCCCCATTCTCCCGCTTTCCATCACCCCGCCCCATTCTCCCTCTTTCCATCACCCCGCCCCATTCTCCCGCTTTCCATCACCCCTCCCCATTCTCCCGCTTTCCATCACCCGCCCCATTCTCCCTCTTTCCATCACCCCGCCCCATTCTCCCTCTTTCCATCACCCCGCCCCATTCTCCCGCTTTCCATCACCCCGCCCCATTCTCCCGCCTTCCATCACCCCGCCCCATTCTCCCTCTTTCCATCACCCCGCCCCATTCTCCCGCTTTCCATCACCCCGCCCCATTCTCCCGCTTTCCATCAACCCGCCCCATTCAACCGCTTTCCATCACCCCGCCCCATTCTCCCTCTTTCCATCACCCCGCCCCATTCTCCCGCTTTCCATCACCCCGCCCCATTCTCCCGCTTTCCATCACCCCGCCCCATTCTCCCGCTTTCCATCAACCCGCCCCATTCTCCCGCTTTCCATCACCCCGCCCCATTCTCCCGCTTTCCATCACCCCGCCCCATTCTCCCGCTTTCCATCACCCCGCCCCATTCTCCCGCTTTCCATCACCCGCCCCATTCTCCCGCTTTCCATCACCCCGCCCCATTCTTCCGCTTTCCATCACCCCGCCCCATTCTCCCGCTTTCCATCACCCCGCCCCATTCTCCCTCTTTCCATCACCCCGCCCCATTCTCCCGCTTTCCATCACCCCGCCCCATTCTCCCGCTTTCCATCACCCCGCCCCATTCTCCCGCTTTCCATCACCCGCCCCATTCTCCCTGCTTCCATCACCTCGCCCCATTCTCCCGCTTTCCATCACCCCTCCCCATTCTCCCTCTTTCCATCACCCCGCCCCATTCTCCCGCTTTCCATCACCCCGACCCATTCTCCCGCTTTCCATCACCCGCCCCATTCTCCCGCTTTCCATCACCCCTCCCCATTCTCCCGCTTTCCATCACCCCGCCCCATTCTCCCGCTTTCCATCACCCCGCCCCATTCTCCCGCTTTCCATCACCCCGCCCCATTCTCCCTCTTTCCATCACCCCGCCTCATTCTCCCGCTTTCCATCACCCCGCCCCATTCTCCCGCTTTCCATCACCCCGCCCCATTCTCCCGCTTTCCATCACCCCGCCCCATTCTCCCGCTTTCCATCATCCCGCCCCATTCTCCCGCTTTCCATCACCCCGCCCCATTCTCCCTCTTTCCATCACCCCGCCCCATTCTCCCGCTTTCCATCACCCCGCCCCATTCTCCCGCTTTCCATCACCCCGCCCCATTCTCCCGCTTTCCATCACCCCGCCCCATTCTCCCTCTTTCCATCACCCCGCTCCATTCTCCCGCCTTCCATCACCCCGCCCCATTCTCCCTCTTTCCATCACCCCGCCCCATTCTCCCGCTTTCCATCACCCCCCCCATTCTTCCTGCTTCCATCACCCCGCCCCCCCCATTCTCCTTTTTCCATCACCCCGCCCCATTCTCCCTGCTTCCATCACCCCGGCCCATTCTCCCGCTTTCCATCACCTCGCCCCATTCTCCCGCTTTCCATCACCCCGCCCCATTCTCCCTCTTTCCATCACCCCGCCCCATTCTCCCTCCTTCCATCACCCCGCCCCATTCTCCCCTTTTCCATCACCTCGCCCCATTCTCCCGCTTTCCATCACCTCGCCCCATTCTCCCTCTTTCCATCACCCCGCCCCATTCTCCCGCTTTCCATCACCCCACCCCATTCTCCCTCTTTCCATCACCCCGCCCCATTCTCCCACTTTCCATCACCCCGCCCCATTCTCCCGCTTTCCATCACCCCGCCCCATTCTCCCGCTTTCCATCACCTCGCCCCATTCTCCCTCTTTCCATCACCCCGCACCATTCTCCCGCTTTCCATCACCCGCCCCATTCTCCCGCTTTCCATCACCCCGCCCTATTCTCCCGCTTTCCATCACCCGCCCCATTCTCCCGCTTTCCATCACGCCGCCCCATTCTCCCGCTTTCCATCACCTCGCCCCATTCTCCCGCTTTCCATCACCCCGCCCCATTCTCCCGCTTTCCATCACCCTGCCCCATTCTCCCGCTTTCCATCACCCGCCCCATTCTCCCGCTTTCCATCACCCCGCCCCTTTCTCCCGCTTTCCATCACCCCGCCCCATTCTCCTGCTTTCCATCACCCCGCCCCATTCTCCCTCTTTCCATCACCCCGCCCCGTTCTCCCGCTTTCCATCACCCCGCCCCATTCTCCTGCTTTCCATCACCCCGCCCCATTCTCCCTCTTTCCATCACCCCGCACAATTCTCCCGCTTTCCATCACCCCGCCCCATTCTCCCTCCTTCCATCACCCCGCCCCATTCTCCCGCTTTCCATCACCCGGCCCATTCTCTCACTTTCCATCCCCGCCCCATTCTCCCGCTTTCCATCACCCCGCCCCATTCTCCCTCTTTCCATCACCCCGCCCCATTCTCCCGTTTTCCATCACCCCTCCCCATTCTCCCGCTTTCCATCAACCCGCCCCATTCTCCCTCTTTCCATCACCCTGCCCCATTCTCCCGCTTTCCATCAGCCCGCCCCATTCTCCCGCTTTCCATCAGCCCGCACGATTCTCCCGCTTTCCATCACCCCGCACGATTCTCCCGCTTTCCATCACCCCGCCCCATTCTCCCGCTTTCCATCACCCCTCCCCATTCTCCCGCTTTCCATCACCCCGCCCCATTCTGGTCCACGTGTTTGTTGGACCAACGAGCCAGTTGCTCCACGTGTTCGTTGGACCAACGAGCCAGTTGCTCCACGTGTTCGTTGGACCAACGAGCCAGGTGGTCGACGTGTTCGATGGACCAACGAGCGAGGTGGTCGACGTGTTCGATGGACCAACGAGCGAGGTGGTCGACGTGTTCGATGGACCAACGAGCGAGGTGGTCGACTTGTTCGATGGACCAACGAGCGAGGTGGTCGACGTGTTCGATGGACCAACGAGCGAGGTGGTCGACGTGTTCGATGGACCAACGAGCGAGGTGGTCGACGTGTTCGATGGACCAACGAGCGAGGTGGTCGACGTGTTCGATGGACCAACGAGCGAGGTGGTCGACGTGTTCGATGGACCAACGAGCGAGGTGGTCGACGTGTTCGATGGACCAACGAGGCCGGTGGTCGACGTGTTCGATGGACCAACGAGGCCGGTGGTCGGCGTGTTCGATGGACCAACGAGGCCGGTGGTCGGCGTGTTCGATGGACCAACGAGGCCGGTGGTCGGCGTGTTCGATGGACCAACGAGGCCGGTGGTCGGCGTGTTCGATGGACCAACGAGGCCGGTGGTCGGCGTGTTCGATGGACCAACGAGGCCGGTGGTCGGCGTGTTCGATGGACCAACGAGGCCGGTGGTCGGCGTGTTCGATGGACCAACGAGGCCGGTGGTCGGCGTGTTCAATGGACCAACGAGGCCGGTGGTCGGCGTGTTCGATGGACCAACGAGGCCGGTGGTCGGCGTGTTCGATGGACCAACGAGGCCGGTGGTCGGCGTGTTCGATGGACCAACGAGGCCGGTGGTCGGCGTGTTCGATGGACCAACGAGGCCGGTGGTCGGCGTGTTCGATGGACCAACGAGGCCGGTGGTCGGCGTGTTCGATGGACCAACGAGGCCGGTGGTCGGCGTGTTCGATGGACCAACGAGGCCGGTGGTCGGCGTGTTCGATGGACCAACGAGGCCGGTGGTCGGCGTGTTCGATGGACCAACGAGGCCGGTGGTCGGCGTGTTCGATGGACCAACGAGGCCGGTGGTCGGCGTGTTCGATGGACCAACGAGGCCGGTGGTCGGCGTGTTCGATGGACCAACGAGGCCGGTGGTCGGCGTGTTCGATGGACCAACGAGGCCGGTGGTCGGCGTGTTCGATGGACCAACGAGGCCGGTGGTCGGCGTGTTCGATGGACCAACGAGGCCGGTGGTCGGCGTGTTCGATGGACCAACGAGGCCGGTGGTCGGCGTGTTCGATGGACCAACGAGGCCGGTGGTCGGCGTGTTCGATGCACCAACGAGGCCGGTGGTCGGCGTGTTCGATGCACCAACGAGGCCGGTGGTCGGCGTGTTCGATGCACCAACGAGGCCGGTGGTCGGCGTGTTCGATGCACCAACGAGGCCGGTGGTCGGCGTGTTCGATGCACCAACGAGGCCGGTGGTCGGCGTGTTCGATGCACCAACGAGGCCGGTGGTCGGCGTGTTCGATGCACCAACGAGGCCGGTGGTCGGCGTGTTCGATGCACCAACGAGGCCGGTGGTCGGCGTGTTCGATGCACCAACGAGGCCGGTGGTCGGCGTGTTCGATGCACCAACGAGGCCGGTGGTCGGCGTGTTCGGTGCACCAACGAGGCCGGTGGTCGGCGTGTTCCGTGCACCAACGAGGCCGGTGGTCGGCGTGTTCCGTGCACCAACGAGGCCGGTGGTCGGCGTGTTCGTGCACCAACGAGGCCGGTGGTCGGCGTGTTGATGCACCAACGAGGCCGGTGGTCGGCGTGTTCGTGCACCAACGAGGCCGGTGGTCGGCGTGTTCGTGCACCAACGAGGCCGGTGGTCGGCGTGTTCGATGCACCAACGAGGCCGGTGGTCGGCGTGTTCGTGCACCAACGAGGCCGGTGGTCGGCGTGTTCGATGCACCAACGAGGCCGGTGGTCGGCGTGTTCGATGCACCAACGAGGCAGCTGGTCCGCGTGTTCCATGCACCAACGAGGCAGCTGGTCCGCGTGTTCGTTGCACCAACGAGGCAGCTGGTCCGCGTGTTCGTTGCACCAACGAGGCAGCTGGTCCGCGTGTTCGATGCACCAACGAGGCAGCTGGTCCGCGTGTTCGATGCACCAACGAGGCAGCTGGTCCGCGTGTTCGTTGCACCAACGAGGCAGCTGGTCCGCGTGTTCGATGCACCAACGAGGCAGCTGGTCCGCGTGTTCGTTGCACCAACGAGGCAGCTGGTCCGCGTGTTCGTTGCACCAACGAGGCAGCTGGTCCGCGTGTTCGTTGCACCAACGAGGCAGCTGGTCCGCGTGTTCGTTGCACCAACGAGGCAGCTGGTCCGCGTGTTCGTTGCACCAACGAGGCAGCTGGTCCGCGTGTTCGTTGCACCAACGAGGCAGCTGGTCCGCGTGTTCGTTGCACCAACGAGGCAGCTGGTCCGCGTGTTCGTTGCACCAACGAGGCAGCTGGTCCGCGTGTTCGTTGGACCAACGAGGCAGCTGGTCCGCGTGTTCGTTGCACCAACGAGGCAGCTGGTCCGCGTGTTCGTTGGACCAACGAGGCAGCTGGTCCGCGTGTTCGTTGGACCAACGAGGCAGCTGGTCCGCGTGTTCGTTGCACCAACGAGGCAGCTGGTCCGCGTGTTCGTTGGACCAACGAGGCAGCTGGTCCGCGTGTTCGTTGGACCAACGAGGCAGCTGGTCCGCGTGTTCGTTGGACCAACGAGGCAGCTGGTCCGCGTGTTCGTTGGACCAACGAGGCAGCTGGTCCGCGTGTTCGTTGGACCAACGAGGCAGCTGGTCCGCGTGTTCGTTGGACCAACGAGGCAGCTGGTCCGCGTGTTCGTTGGACCAACGAGGCAGCTGGTCCGCGTGTTCGTTGGACCAACGAGGCAGCTGGTCCGCGTGTTCGTTGGACCAACGAGGCAGCTGGTCCGCGTGTTCGTTGGACCAACGAGGCAGCTGGTCCGCGTGTTCGTTGGACCAACGAGGCAGCTGGTCCGCGTGTTCGTTGGACCAACGAGGCAGCTGGTCCGCGTGTTCGTTGGACCAACGAGGCAGCTGGTCCGCGTGTTCGTTGGACCAACGAGGCAGCTGGTCCGCGTGTTCGTTGGACCAACGAGGCAGCTGGTCCGCGTGTTCGTTGGACCAACGAGGCAGCTGGTCCGCGTGTTCGTTGGACCAACGAGGCAGCTGGTCCGCGTGTTCGTTGGACCAACGAGGCAGCTGGTCCGCGTGTTCGTTGGACCAACGAGGCAGCTGGTCCGCGTGTTCGTTGGACCAACGAGGCAGCTGGTCCGCGTGTTCGTTGGACCAACGAGGCAGCTGGTCCGCGTGTTCGTTGGACCAACGAGCCAGCTGGTCCGCGTGTTCGTTGGACCAACGAGGCAGCTGGTCCGCGTGTTCGTTGGACCAACGAGGCAGCTGGTCCGCGTGTTCGTTGGACCAACGAGCCAGCTGGTCCGCGTGTTCGTTGGACCAACGAGCCAGCTGGTCCGCGTGTTCGTTGGACCAACGAGGCAGCTGGTCCGCGTGTTCGTTGGACCAACGAGGCAGCTGGTCCGCGTGTTCGTTGGACCAACGAGGCAGCTGGTCCGCGTGTTCGTTGGACCAACGAGCCAGCTGGTCCGCGTGTTCGTTGGACCAACGAGCCAGCTGGTCCGCGTGTTCGTTGGACCAACGAGCCAGCTGGTCCGCGTGTTCGTTGGACCAACGAGCCAGCTGGTCCGCGTGTTCGTTGGACCAACGAGCCAGCTGGTCCGCGTGTTCGTTGGACCAACGAGCCAGCTGGTCCGCGTGTTCGTTGGACCAACGAGCCAGCTGGTCCGCGTGTTCGTTGGACCAACGAGCCAGCTGGTCCGCGTGTTCGTTGGACCAACGAGCCAGCTGGTCCGCGTGTTCGTTGGACCAACGAGCCAGCTGGTCCGCGTGTTCGTTGGACCAACGAGCCAGCTGGTCCGCGTGTTCGTTGGACCAACGAGCCAGCTGGTCCGCGTGTTCGTTGGACCAACGAGCCAGCTGGTCCGCGTGTTCGTTGGACCAACGAGCCAGCTGGTCCGCGTGTTCGTTGGACCAACGAGCCAGCTGGTCCGCGTGTTCGTTGGACCAACGAGGCAGCTGGTCCGCGTGTTCGTTGGACCAACGAGGCAGCTGGTCCGCGTGTTCGTTGGACCAACGAGGCAGCTGGTCCGCGTGTTCGTTGGACCAACGAGCCAGCTGGTCCGCGTGTTCGTTGGACCAACGAGGCAGCTGGTCCGCGTGTTCGTTGGACCAACGAGGCAGCTGGTCCGCGTGTTCGTTGGACCAACGAGGCAGCTGGTCCGCGTGTTCGTTGGACCAACGAGCCAGCTGGTCCGCGTGTTCGTTGGACCAACGAGGCAGCTGGTCCGCGTGTTCGTTGGACCAACGAGGCAGCTGGTCCGCGTGTTCGTTGGACCAACGAGCCAGCTGGTCCGCGTGTTCGTTGGACCAACGAGCCAGCTGGTCCGCGTGTTCGTTGGACCAACGAGCCAGCTGGTCCGCGTGTTCGTTGGACCAACGAGCCAGCTGGTCCGCGTGTTCGTTGGACCAACGAGCCAGCTGGTCCGCGTGTTCGTTGGACCAACGAGCCAGCTGGTCCGCGTGTTCGTTGGACCAACGAGCCAGCTGGTCCGCGTGTTCGTTGGACCAACGAGCCAGCTGGTCCGCGTGTTCGTTGGACCAACGAGCCAGCTGGTCCGCGTGTTCGTTGGACCAACGAGCCAGCTGGTCCGCGTGTTCGATGGACCAACGAGCCAGCTGGTCCGCGTGTTCGATGGACCAACGAGCCAGCTGGTCCGCGTGTTCGATGGACCAACGAGCCAGCTGGTCCGCGTGTTCGATGGACCAACGAGCCAGCTGGTCCGCGTGTTCGATGGACCAACGAGCCAGCTGGTCCGCGTGTTCGATGGACCAACGAGCCAGCTGGTCCGCGTGTTCGATGGACCAACGAGCCAGCTGGTCCGCGTGTTCGATGGACCAACGAGCCAGCTGGTCCGCGTGTTCGATGGACCAACGAGCCAGCTGGTCCGCGTGTTCGATGGACCAACGAGCCAGCTGGTCCGCGTGTTCGATGGACCACCGAGCCAGCTGGTCCGCGTGTTCGATGGACCACCGAGCCAGCTGGTCCACGTGTTCGATGGACCAACAAGCCAGCTGGTCCACGTGTTCGATGGACCAACAAGCCAGCTGGTCCACGTGTTCGATGGACCAACAAGCCAGCTGGTCCACGTGTTCGATGGACCAACAAGCCAGCTGGTCCGCGTGTTCGATGGACCAACAAGCCAGCTGGTCCGCGTGTTCGATGGACCAACAAGCCAGCTGGTCCGCGTGTTCGATGGACCAACAAGCCAGCTGGTCCGCGTGTTCGATGGACCAACAAGCCAGCTGGTCCGCGTGTTCGATGGACCAACAAGCCAGCTGGTCCGCGTGTTCGATGGACCAACAAGCCAGCTGGTCCGCGTGTTCGATGGACCAACAAGCCAGCTGGTCCGCGTGTTCGATGGACCAACAAGCCAGCTGGTCCGCGTGTTCGATGGACCAACAAGCCAGCTGGTCCGCGTGTTCGATGGACCAACAAGCCAGCTGGTCCGCGTGTTCGATGGACCAACAAGCCAGCTGGTCCGCGTGTTCGATGGACCAACAAGCCAGCTGGTCCGCGTGTTCGATGGACCAACAAGCCAGCTGGTCCGCGTGTTCGATGGACCAACAAGCCAGTTGGTCCCCGTGTTCGTTGGACCAACAAGCCAGTTGGACCAACTGGCTAGTTGGTCCACGCGTTCGATGGACCAACAAGCCAGTTGGTCCACGCGTTCGATGGACCAACAAGCCAGTTGGTCCACGCGTTCGATGGACCAACAAGCCAGTTGGTCCACGCGTTCGATGGACCAACAAGCCAGTTGGTCCACGCGTTCGATGGACCAACAAGCCAGTTGGTCCACGCGTTCGTTGGACCAACAAGCCAGTTGGTCCACGCGTTCGATGGACCAACAAGCCAGTTGGTCCACGCGTTCGATGGACCAACAAGCCAGTTGGTCCACGCGTTCGATGGACCAACAAGCCAGTTGGTCCACGCGTTCGATGGACCAACAAGCCAGTTGGTCCACGCGTTCGATGGACCAACACAACAGTTGGTCCACGCGTTCGATGGACCAACAAGCCAGTTGGTCCACGCGTTCGATGGACCAACAAGCCAGTTGGTCCACGCGTTCGATGGACCAACAACCAACAAGCCAGTTGGTCCACGCGTTCGATGGACCAACAAGCCAGTTGGTCCACGCGTTCGATGGACCAACAAGCCAGTTGGTCCACGCGTTCGATGGACCAACAACCAACAAGCCAGTTGGTCCACGCGTTCGATGGACCAACAACCAACAAGCCAGTTGGTCCACGCGTTCGATGGACCAACAAGCCAGTTGGTCCACCTGTCGATGGACCAACAAGCCAGTTGGTCCACGCGCTCGATGGACCAACAAGCCAGTTGGTCCACGCGCTCGATGGACCAACAAGCCAGTTGGTCCACGCGCTCGATGGACCAACAAGCCAGTTGGTCCACGCGCTCGATGGACCAACAAGCCAGTTGGTCCACGCGCTCGTTGGACCAACAAGCCAGTTGGTCCACGCGCTCGATGGACCAACAAGCCAGTTGGTCCACGCGCTCGTTGGACCAACAAGCCAGTTGGTCCACGCGCTCGATGGACCAACAAGCCAGTTGGTCCACGCGCTCGATGGACCAACAAGCCAGTTGGTCCACGCGCTCGATGGACCAACAAGCCAGTTGGTCCACGCGCTCGATGGACCAACAAGCCAGTTGGTCCACGCGCTCGATGGACCAACAAGCCAGTTGGTCCACGCGCTCGATGGACCAACAAGCCAGTTGGTCCACGCGCTCGATGGACCAACAAGCCAGTTGGTCCACGCGCTCGATGGACCAACAAGCCAGTTGGTCCACGCGCTCGATGGACCAACAAGCCAGTTGGTCCACGCGCTCGATGGACCAACCAGCCAGCCAGTTGGTCCACGCGCTCGATGGACCAACAAGCCAGTTGGTCCACGCGCTCGATGGACCAACAAGCCAGCTGGTCCACGTGTTCGATGGACCAACAAGCCAGCTGGTCCACGTGTTCGATGGACCAACAAGCCAGCTGGTCCACGCGTTCGATGGACCAACAACCAACAAGCCAGTTGGTCCACGCGTTCGATGGACCAACAACCAACAAGCCAGTTGGTCCACGCGTTCGATGGACCAACAAGCCAGTTGGTCCACCTGTCGATGGACCAACAAGCCAGTTGGTCCACGCGCTCGATGGACCAACAAGCCAGTTGGTCCACGCGCTCGATGGACCAACAAGCCAGTTGGTCCACGCGCTCGATGGACCAACAAGCCAGTTGGTCCACGCGCTCGATGGACCAACAAGCCAGTTGGTCCACGCGCTCGATGGACCAACAAGCTAGTTGGTCCACGCGCTCGTTGGACCAACAAGCCAGTTGGTCCACGCGCTCGATGGACCAACAAGCCAGTTGGTCCACGCGCTCGATGGACCAACAAGCCAGTTGGTCCACGCGCTCGATGGACCAACAAGCCAGTTGGTCCACGCGCTCGATGGACCAACAAGCCAGTTGGTCCACGCGCTCGATGGACCAACAAGCCAGTTGGTCCACGCGCTCGATGGACCAACAAGCCAGTTGGTCCACGCGCTCGATGGACCAACAAGCCAGTTGGTCCACGCGCTCGATGGACCAACAAGCCAGTTGGTCCACGCGCTCGATGGACCAACAAGCCAGTTGGTCCACGCGCTCGATGGACCAACAAGCCAGTTGGTCCACGCGCTCGATGGACCAACAAGCCAGTTGGTCCACGCGCTCGATGGACCAACAAGCCAGTTGGTCCACGCGCTCGATGGACCAACAAGCCAGTTGGTCCACGCGCTCGATGGACCAACAAGCCAGTTGGTCCACGCGCTCGATGGACCAACAAGCCAGTTGGTCCACGCGCTCGATGGACCAACAAGCCAGCTGGTCCACGTGTTCGATGGACCAACAAGCCAGCTGGTCCACGTGTTCGATGGACCAACAAGCCAGCTGGTCCACGTGTTCGATGGACCAACAAGCCAGCTGGTCCACGTGTTCGATGGACCAACAAGCCAGCTGGTCCACGTGTTCGATGGACCAACAAGCCAGCTGGTCCACCCGTTCGATGGACCAACAAGCCAGCTGGTCCACGCGTTCCATCACCCCGCCCCATTCTCCCGCTTTCCATCACCCCGCCCCATTCTCCCGCTTTCCATCACCCCGCCCCATTCTCCCTCTTTCCATCACCCCGCTCCATTCTCCCGCTTTCCATCACCCCTCCCCATTCTCCCGCTTTCCATGACCCCGCCCCATTCTCCCGCTTTCCATCACCCCGCCCCATTCTCCCGCTTTCCATCACCCCGCCCCATTCTCCCGCTTTCCATCACCCCGCCCCATTCTCCCTCTTTCCATCACCCCGCTCCATTCTCCCGCCTTCCATCACCCCGCCCCATTCTCCCTCTTTCCATCACCCCGCCCCATTCTCCCGCTTTCCATCACCCCGCCCCATTCTTCCTGCTTCCATCACCCCGCCCCATTCTGCCTTTTTCCATCACCCCGCCCCATTCTCCCTCCTTCCATCACCCCGCCCCATTCTCCCGTTTTCCATCACCTCGCCCCATTCTCCCGCTTTCCATCACCCCGCCCCATTCTCCCGCTTTCCATCACCCCGCCCCATTCTCCCTCCTTCCATCACCCCGCCCCATTCTCCCGTTTTCCATCACCTCGCCCCATTCTCCCGCTTTCCATCACCTCGCCCCATTCTCCCTCTTTCCATCACCCCGCCCCATACTCCCGCTTTCCATCACCCCACCCCATTCTCCCTCTTTCCATCACCCCGCCCCATTCTCCCACTTTCCATCACCCCGCCCCATTCTCCCTCTTTCCATCACCCCGCCCCATTCTCCCGCTTTCCATCACCTCGCCCCATTCTCCCTCTTTCCATCACCCCGCACCATTCTCCCTCTTTCCATCACCCCGCCCCATTCTCCTGCTTTCCATCACCCCGCCCTATTCTCCCGCTTTCCATCAACCCGCCCCATTCTCCCGCTTTCCATCACGCCGCCCCATTCTCCCGCTTTCCATCACCCCGCCCCATTCTCCCGCTTTCCATCACCCCGCCCCATTCTCCCGCTTTCCATCACCCGCCCCATTCTCCCGCTTTCCATCACTCCGCCCCATTCTCCCGCTTTCCATCACCCGCCCCATTCTCCCGCTTTCCATCACCCCGCCCCATTCTCCCGCTTTCCATCACCCCGCCCCATTCTCCCACTTTCCATCACCCTGCCCCATTCTCCCTCTTTCCATCACCCCGCCTCATTCTCCCGCTTTCCATCACCCCGCCCCATTCTCCCGCTTTCCATCACCCCGCCCCATTCTCCCGCTTTCCATCACCCCCCCCCCCATTCTCCCTCTTTCCATCACCTCGCCCCATTCTCCCGCTTTCCATCACCCCTCCCCATTCTCCCGCTTTCCATCACCCCGTCCCATTCTCCCGCTTTCCATCACCCCACCCCATTCTCCCGCTCTCCATCACCCCGCCCCATTCTCCCGATTTCCATCACCCCGCCCCATTCTCCCGTTTTCCATCACCCCGCCCCATTCTCCCGCTTTCCATCACCCCGCCCTATTCTCCCGCTTTCCATCACCCGCCCCATTCTCCCTCTTTCCATCACCCCGCCTCATTCTCCCGCTTTCCATCACCCCGCCCTATTCTCCCGCTTTCCATCACCCCGCCCCATTCTCCCGCTTTCCATCACCCCGCCCCATTCTTCCGCTTTCCATCACCCCGCCCCATTCTCCCTCTTTCCATCACCTCGCCCCATTCTCCCGTTTTCCATCACCCCCCCCATTCTCCCCCTTTCCATCACCCCGCCCCATTCTCCCGCTTTCCATCACCCCGCTCCATTCTCCCGCCTTCCATCACCCCGCCCCATTCTCCCTCTTTCCATCACCCCGCCCCATTCTCCCGCTTTCCATCACCCCGCCCCATTCTTCCTTCTTCCATCACCCCGCCCCATTCTGCCTTTTTCCATCACCCCGCCCCATTCTCCCTGCTTCCATCACCTCGCCCATTCTCCCTCTTTCCATCACCCCGCCTCATTCTCCCGCTTCCATCACCCCGCCCCGTTCTCCGCTTTCCATCACCCCGCCCCATTCTCCCGCTTTCCATCACCCCGCCCCATTCTTTCGCTTCCATCACCCCGGCCCATTCTCCCTCTTTCCATCACCTCGCCCCATTCTCCCGTTTTCCATCACCCCTCCCCATTCTCCCGCTTTTCATCACCCCGCCCCATTCTCCCGCTTTCCATCACCCCGCTCCATTCTCCCGCCTTCCATCACCCCGCCCCATTCTCCCTTTCCATCACCCCGCCCCATTCTCCCGCTTTCCATCACCCCGCCCCATTCTTCCTGCTTCCATCACCCGCCCCATTCTGCCTTTTTCCATCACCCCGCCCCATTCTCCCTGCTTCCATCCCCCGCCCATTCTCCCGCTTTCCATCACCTCGCCCCATTCTCCCGCTTTCCATCACCCCGGCCCATTCTCCCTCTTTCCATCACCCCGCCCCATTCTCCCTCCTTCCATCACCCCGCCCCATTCTCCCTCTTTCCATCACCTCGCCCCATTCTCCCGCTTTCCATCACCTCGCCCCATTCTCCCTCTTTCCATCACCCGCCCCATTCTCCCGCTTTCCATCACCCCACCCCATTCTCCCTCTTTCCATCACCCCGCCCCATTCTCCCACTTTCCATCACCCCGCCCCATTCTCCCTCTTTCCATCACCCCGCCCCATTCTCCCGCTTTCCATCCATCGCCTTGCCCCATTCTCCCGCTTTCCATCACCCCGCACCATTCTCCCTCTTTCCATCACCCCGCCCCATTCTCCCGCTTTCCATCACCCCGCCCTATTCTCCCGCTTTCCATCAACCCGCCCCATTCTCCCGCTTTCCATCACGCCGCCCCATTCTCCCGCTTTCCATCACCCCGGCCCATTCTCCCGCTTTCCATCACCCCGCCCCATTCTCCCGCTTTCCATCACCCTGCCCCATTCTCCCGCTTTCCATCACCCGCCCCATTCTCCCGCTTTCCATCACCCCGCCCCTTTCTCCCGCTTTCCATCATCCCGCCCATTCTCCCGCTTTCCATCACCCGCCCCATTCTCCCTCTTTCCATCACCCCGCCCCGTTCTCCCGCTTTCCATCACCCCGCCCCATTCTCCTGCTTTCCATCACCCCGCCCCATTCTCCCTCTTTCCATCACCCCGCACAATTCTCCCGCTTTCCATCACCCCGCCCCATTCTCCCTCTTCCATCACCCCGCCCCTTCTCCCGCTTCCATCACCCCGGCCATTCTCTCACTTTTCCATCACCCCGCCCCATTCTCCCGCTTTCCATCACCCCGCCCCATTCTCCCTCTTTCCATCACCCCGCCCCATTCTCCCGCTTTCCATCAACCCGCCCCATTCTCCCTCTTTCCATCACCCTGCCCCATTCTCCCGCTTTCCATCAGCCCGCCCCATTCTCCCGCTTTCCATCAGCCCGCACGATTCTCCCGCTTTCCATCACCCCGCACCATTCTCCCGCTTTCCATCACCCCTCCCCATTCTCCCGCTTTCCATCACCCCTCCCCATTCTCCCGCTTTCCATCACCCCGCCCCATTCTGGTCCACGTGTTTGTTGGACCAACGAGCCAGTTGCTCCACGTGTTCGTTGGACCAACGAGCCAGTTGCTCCACGTGTTCGTTGGACCAACGAGCCAGGTGGTCGACGTGTTCGATGGACCAACGAGCGAGGTGGTCGACGTGTTCGATGGACCAACGAGCGAGGTGGTCGACGTGTTCGATGGACCAACGAGCGAGGTGGTCGACGTGTTCGATGGACCAACGAGCGAGGTGGTCGACGTGTTCGATGGACCAACGAGCGAGGTGGTCGACGTGTTCGATGGACCAACGAGCGAGGTGGTCGACGTGTTCGATGGACCAACGAGCGAGGTGGTCGACGTGTTCGATGGACCAACGAGCGAGGTGGTCGACGTGTTCGATGGACCAACGAGCGAGGTGGTCGACGTGTTCGATGGACCAACGAGCGAGGTGGTCGACGTGTTCGATGGACCAACGAGCGAGGTGGTCGACGTGTTCGATGGACCAACGAGGCCGGTGGTCGGCGTGTTCGATGGACCAACGAGGCCGGTGGTCGGCGTGTTCGATGGACCAACGAGGCCGGTGGTCGGCGTGTTCGATGGACCAACGAGGCCGGTGGTCGGCGTGTTCGATGGACCAACGAGGCCGGTGGTCGGCGTGTTCGATGGACCAACGAGGCCGGTGGTCGGCGTGTTCGATGGACCAACGAGGCCGGTGGTCGGCGTGTTCGATGGACCAACGAGGCCGGTGGTCGGCGTGTTCGATGGACCAACGAGGCCGGTGGTCGGCGTGTTCGATGGACCAACGAGGCCGGTGGTCGGCGTGTTCGATGGACCAACGAGGCCGGTGGTCGGCGTGTTCGATGGACCAACGAGGCCGGTGGTCGGCGTGTTCGATGGACCAACGAGGCCGGTGGTCGGCGTGTTCGATGGACCAACGAGGCCGGTGGTCGGCGTGTTCGATGGACCAACGAGGCCGGTGGTCGGCGTGTTCGATGGACCAACGAGGCCGGTGGTCGGCGTGTTCGATGGACCAACGAGGCCGGTGGTCGGCGTGTTCGATGGACCAACGAGGCCGGTGGTCGGCGTGTTCGATGGACCAACGAGGCCGGTGGTCGGCGTGTTCGATGGACCAACGAGGCCGGTGGTCGGCGTGTTCGATGGACCAACGAGGCCGGTGGTCGGCGTGTTCGATGGACCAACGAGGCCGGTGGTCGGCGTGTTCGATGGACCAACGAGGCCGGTGGTCGGCGTGTTCGATGGACCAACGAGGCCGGTGGTCGGCGTGTTCGATGGACCAACGAGGCCGGTGGTCGGCGTGTTCGATGGACCAACGAGGCCGGTGGTCGGCGTGTTCGATGGACCAACGAGGCCGGTGGTCGGCGTGTTCGATGGACCAACGAGGCCGGTGGTCGGCGTGTTCGATGGACCAACGAGGCCGGTGGTCGGCGTGTTCGATGGACCAACGAGGCCGGTGGTCGGCGTGTTCGATGGACCAACGAGGCCGGTGGTCGGCGTGTTCGATGGACCAACGAGGCCGGTGGTCGGCGTGTTCGATGGACCAACGAGGCCGGTGGTCGGCGTGTTCGATGCACCAACGAGGCCGGTGGTCGGCGTGTTCGATGCACCAACGAGGCCGGTGGTCGGCGTGTTCGATGCACCAACGAGGCCGGTGGTCGGCGTGTTCGATGCACCAACGAGGCCGGTGGTCGGCGTGTTCGATGCACCAACGAGGCCGGTGGTCGGCGTGTTCGATGCACCAACGAGGCCGGTGGTCGGCGTGTTCGATGCACCAACGAGGCCGGTGGTCGGCGTGTTCGATGCACCAACGAGGCCGGTGGTCGGCGTGTTCGATGCACCAACGAGGCCGGTGGTCGGCGTGTTCGATGCACCAACGAGGCCGGTGGTCGGCGTGTTCGATGCACCAACGAGGCCGGTGGTCGGCGTGTTCCGTGCACCAACGAGGCCGGTGGTCGGCGTGTTCGATGCACCAACGAGGCCGGTGGTCGGCGTGTTCGATGCACCAACGAGGCCGGTGGTCGGCGTGTTCCGTGCACCAACGAGGCCGGTGGTCGGCGTGTTCCGTGCACCAACGAGGCCGGTGGTCGGCGTGTTCCGTGCACCAACGAGGCCGGTGGTCGGCGTGTTCCGTGCACCAACGAGGCCGGTGGTCGGCGTGTTCGATGCACCAACGAGGCCGGTGGTCGGCGTGTTCGTGCACCAACGAGGCCGGTGGTCGGCGTGTTCGTGCACCAACGAGGCCGCTGGTCGGCGTGTTCGTGCACCAACGAGGCCGCTGGTCGGCGTGTTCGATGCACCAACGAGGCAGCTGGTCGGCGTGTTCCATGCACCAACGAGGCAGCTGGTCGGCGTGTTCCATGCACCAACGAGGCGCTGGTCGGCGTGTTCCATGCACCAACGAGGCAGCTGGTCCGCGTGTTCCATGCACCAACGAGGCAGCTGGTCCGCGTGTTCGATGCACCAACGAGGCAGCTGGTCCGCGTGTTCGTTGCACCAACGAGGCAGCTGGTCCGCGTGTTCGTTGCACCAACGAGGCAGCTGGTCCGCGTGTTCGTTGCACCAACGAGGCAGCTGGTCCGCGTGTTCGTTGCACCAACGAGGCAGCTGGTCCGCGTGTTCGTTGCACCAACGAGGCAGCTGGTCCGCGTGTTCGTTGCACCAACGAGGCAGCTGGTCCGCGTGTTCGTTGCACCAACGAGGCAGCTGGTCCGCGTGTTCGTTGCACCAACGAGGCAGCTGGTCCGCGTGTTCGTTGCACCAACGAGGCAGCTGGTCCGCGTGTTCGTTGCACCAACGAGGCAGCTGGTCCGCGTGTTCGTTGCACCAACGAGGCAGCTGGTCCGCGTGTTCGTTGCACCAACGAGGCAGCTGGTCCGCGTGATCGTTGCACCAACGAGGCAGCTGGTCCGCGTGTTCGTTGCACCAACGAGGCAGCTGGTCCGCGTGTTCGTTGGACCAACGAGGCAGCTGGTCCGCGTGTTCGTTGCACCAACGAGGCAGCTGGTCCGCGTGTTCGTTGGACCAACGAGGCAGCTGGTCCGCGTGTTCGTTGGACCAACGAGGCAGCTGGTCCGCGTGTTCGTTGGACCAACGAGGCAGCTGGTCCGCGTGTTCGTTGGACCAACGAGGCAGCTGGTCCGCGTGTTCGTTGGACCAACGAGGCAGCTGGTCCGCGTGTTCGTTGGACCAACGAGGCAGCTGGTCCGCGTGTTCGTTGGACCAACGAGGCAGCTGGTCCGCGTGTTCGTTGGACCAACGAGGCAGCTGGTCCGCGTGTTCGTTGGACCAACGAGGCAGCTGGTCCGCGTGTTCGTTGGACCAACGAGGCAGCTGGTCCGCGTGTTCGTTGGACCAACGAGGCAGCTGGTCCGCGTGTTCGTTGGACCAACGAGGCAGCTGGTCCGCGTGTTCGTTGGACCAACGAGGCAGCTGGTCCGCGTGTTCGTTGGACCAACGAGGCAGCTGGTCCGCGTGTTCGTTGGACCAACGAGGCAGCTGGTCCGCGTGTTCGTTGGACCAACGAGGCAGCTGGTCCGCGTGTTCGTTGGACCAACGAGGCAGCTGGTCCGCGTGTTCGTTGGACCAACGAGGCAGCTGGTCCGCGTGTTCGTTGGACCAACGAGGCAGCTGGTCCGCGTGTTCGTTGGACCAACGAGGCAGCTGGTCCGCGTGTTCGTTGGACCAACGAGGCAGCTGGTCCGCGTGTTCGTTGGACCAACGAGGCAGCTGGTCCGCGTGTTCGTTGGACCAACGAGGCAGCTGGTCCGCGTGTTCGTTGGACCAACGAGGCAGCTGGTCCGCGTGTTCGTTGGACCAACGAGGCAGCTGGTCCGCGTGTTCGTTGGACCAACGAGGCAGCTGGTCCGCGTGTTCGTTGGACCAACGAGGCAGCTGGTCCGCGTGTTCGTTGGACCAACGAGGCAGCTGGTCCGCGTGTTCGTTGGACCAACGAGGCAGCTGGTCCGCGTGTTCGTTGGACCAACGAGGCAGCTGGTCCGCGTGTTCGTTGGACCAACGAGGCAGCTGGTCCGCGTGTTTGTTGGACCAACAAGCCAGCTGGTCCGCGTGTTTGTTGGACCAACAAGCCAGCTGGTCCGCGTGTTTGTTGGACCAACAAGCCAGCTGGTCCGCGTGTTTGTTGGACCAACAAGCCAGCTGGTCCGCGTGTTTGTTGGACCAACAAGCCAGCTGGTCCGCGTGTTTGTTGGACCAACAAGCCAGCTGGTCCGCGTGTTTGTTGGACCAACAAGCCAGCTGGTCCGCGTGTTTGTTGGACCAACAAGCCAGCTGGTCCGCGTGTTTGTTGGACCAACAAGCCAGCTGGTCCGCGTGTTTGTTGGACCAACAAGCCAGCTGGTCCGCGTGTTTGTTGGACCAACAAGCCAGCTGGTCCGCGTGTTTGTTGGACCAACAAGCCAGCTGGTCCGCGTGTTTGTTGGACCAACAAGCCAGCTGGTCCGCGTGTTTGTTGGACCAACAAGCCAGCTGGTCCGCGTGTTTGTTGGACCAACAAGCCAGCTGGTCCGCGTGTTTGTTGGACCAACAAGCCAGCTGGTCCGCGTGTTTGTTGGACCAACAAGCCAGCTGGTCCGCGTGTTTGTTGGACCAACAAGCCAGCTGGTCCGCGTGTTTGTTGGACCAACAAGCCAGCTGGTCCGCGTGTTTGTTGGACCAACAAGCCAGCTGGTCCGCGTGTTTGTTGGACCAACAAGCCAGCTGGTCCGCGTGTTTGTTGGACCAACAAGCCAGCTGGTCCGCGTGTTTGTTGGACCAACAAGCCAGCTGGTCCGCGTGTTTGTTGGACCAACAAGCCAGCTGGTCCGCGTGTTTGTTGGACCAACAAGCCAGCTGGTCCGCGTGTTTGTTGGACCAACAAGCCAGCTGGTCCGCGTGTTTGTTGGACCAACAAGCCAGCTGGTCCGCGTGTTTGTTGGACCAACAAGCCAGCTGGTCCGCGTGTTTGTTGGACCAACAAGCCAGCTGGTCCGCGTGTTTGTTGGACCAACAAGCCAGCTGGTCCACGTGTTCGATGGACCAACAAGCCAGCTGGTCCACGTGTTCGATGGACCAACAAGCCAGCTGGTCCACGTGTTCGATGGACCAACAAGCCAGCTGGTCCACGTGTTCGATGGACCAACAAGCCAGCTGGTCCACGTGTTCGATGGACCAACAAGCCAGCTGGTCCACGTGTTCGATGGACCAACAAGCCAGCTGGTCCACGTGTTCGATGGACCAACAAGCCAGCTGGTCCACGTGTTCGATGGACCAACAAGCCAGCTGGTCCACGTGTTCGATGGACCAACAAGCCAGCTGGTCCACGTGTTCGATGGACCAACAAGCCAGCTGGTCCACGTGTTCGATGGACCAACAAGCCAGCTGGTCCACGTGTTCGATGGACCAACAAGCCAGCTGGTCCACGTGTTCGATGGACCAACAAGCCAGCTGGTCCACGTGTTCGATGGACCAACAAGCCAGCTGGTCCACGTGTTCGATGGACCAACAAGCCAGCTGGTCCACGTGTTCGATGGACCAACAAGCCAGCTGGTCCACGTGTTCGATGGACCAACAAGCCAGCTGGTCCACGTGTTCGATGGACCAACAAGCCAGCTGGTCCACGTGTTCGATGGACCAACAAGCCAGCTGGTCCACGTGTTCGATGGACCAACAAGCCAGCTGGTCCACGTGTTCGATGGACCAACAAGCCAGCTGGTCCGCGTGTTCGATGGACCAACAAGCCAGCTGGTCCGCGTGTTCGATGGACCAACAAGCCAGCTGGTCCGCGTGTTCGATGGACCAACAAGCCAGCTGGTCCGCGTGTTCGATGGACCAACAAGCCAGCTGGTCCGCGTGTTCGATGGACCAACAAGCCAGCTGGTCCGCGTGTTCGATGGACCAACAAGCCAGCTGGTCCGCGTGTTTGTTGGACCAACAAGCCAGCTGGTCCGCGTGTTCGATGGACCAACAAGCCAGCTGGTCCGCGTGTTCGATGGACCAACAAGCCAGCTGGTCCGCGTGTTCGTTGGACCAACAAGCCAGTTGGTCCACGTGTTCGTTGGACCAACAAGCCAGTTGGACCAACTGGCTAGTTGGTCCACGCGTTCGATGGACCAACAAGCCAGTTGGTCCACGCGTTCGATGGACCAACAAGCCAGTTGGTCCACGCGTTCGATGGACCAACAAGCCAGTTGGTCCACGCGTTCGATGGACCAACAAGCCAGTTGGTCCACGCGTTCGATGGACCAACAAGCCAGTTGGTCCACGCGTTCGTTGGACCAACAAGCCAGTTGGTCCACGCGTTCGATGGACCAACAAGCCAGTTGGTCCACGCGTTCGATGGACCAACAAGCCAGTTGGTCCACGCGTTCGATGGACCAACAAGCCAGTTGGTCCACGCGTTCGATGGACCAACAAGCCAGTTGGTCCACGCGTTCGATGGACCAACACAACAGTTGGTCCACGCGTTCGATGGACCAACAAGCCAGTTGGTCCACGCGTTCGATGGACCAACAAGCCAGTTGGTCCACGCGTTCGATGGACCAACAACCAACAAGCCAGTTGGTCCACGCGTTCGATGGACCAACAAGCCAGTTGGTCCACGCGTTCGATGGACCAACAAGCCAGTTGGTCCACGCGTTCGATGGACCAACAACCAACAAGCCAGTTGGTCCACGCGTTCGATGGACCAACAACCAACAAGCCAGTTGGTCCACGCGTTCGATGGACCAACAAGCCAGTTGGTCCACCTGTCGATGGACCAACAAGCCAGTTGGTCCACGCGCTCGATGGACCAACAAGCCAGTTGGTCCACGCGCTCGATGGACCAACAAGCCAGTTGGTCCACGCGCTCGATGGACCAACAAGCCAGTTGGTCCACGCGCTCGATGGACCAACAAGCCAGTTGGTCCACGCGCTCGATGGACCAACAAGCCAGTTGGTCCACGCGCTCGTTGGACCAACAAGCCAGTTGGTCCACGCGCTCGATGGACCAACAAGCCAGTTGGTCCACGCGCTCGATGGACCAACAAGCCAGTTGGTCCACGCGCTCGATGGACCAACAAGCCAGTTGGTCCACGCGCTCGATGGACCAACAAGCCAGTTGGTCCACGCGCTCGATGGACCAACAAGCCAGTTGGTCCACGCGCTCGATGGACCAACAAGCCAGTTGGTCCACGCGCTCGATGGACCAACAAGCCAGTTGGTCCACGCGCTCGTTGGACCAACAAGCCAGTTGGTCCACGCGCTCGATGGACCAACAAGCCAGTTGGTCCACGCGCTCGATGGACCAACAAGCCAGTTGGTCCACGCGCTCGATGGACCAACAAGCCAGTTGGTCCACGCGCTCGATGGACCAACAAGCCAGTTGGTCCACGCGCTCGATGGACCAACAAGCCAGTTGGTCCACGCGCTCGATGGACCAACAAGCCAGTTGGTCCACGCGCTCGATGGACCAACAAGCCAGTTGGTCCACGCGCTCGATGGACCAACAAGCCAGTTGGTCCACGCGCTCGATGGACCAACAAGCCAGTTGGTCCACGCGCTCGATGGACCAACAAGCCAGTTGGTCCACGCGCTCGATGGACCAACAAGCCAGTTGGTCCACGCGCTCGATGGACCAACAAGCCAGTTGGTCCACGCGTTCGATGGACCAACAAGCCAGTTGGTCCACGCGTTCGATGGACCAACAAGCCAGCTGGTCCACGTGTTCGATGGACCAACAAGCCAGCTGGTCCACGTGTTCGATGGACCAACAAGCCAGCTGGTCCACGTGTTCGATGGACCAACAAGCCAGCTGGTCCACGCGTTCGATGGAACAACAAGCCAGCTGGTCCACCCGTTCGATGGACCAACAAGCCAGCTGGTCCACGCGTTCGAT